GATTCACACGACCCGTTCACAAGAGTCATGTTGTTGTGGCTTCCTTACACAAGTGCGGCTTCGAAATTATAAACTATCCTTCCGACAAAGCGACACTGAAATATATATTTAAAAAATAAGTTCAAATTTGGGAAATGGAACTATTTGCATATATTATTAAGTATTTTATTAATATGTCATTGTTATGTTATGACATGTTTAGGATTTGGCGGCAAATTGAAAATTGTCTGTGTCACATCAGCATGAATCTAACGCGAGAAAATTTTCGTACAATGATTATTTATGACTTTCGATGTCATTTAAGTCAACAAGAAAGTTATGATTGACTTCGATTGGCCATTCACGATGAAGCCCCATCTCGTGCCACTAATCACTAATCTCACCGATGATCTGCGTGAGGATGGCCTTCTACGGCGACGACTGATGAAAACATCAGTGTTGTGCGGCGTATGATAGAGACTGACAAAATAGTGACTTATCAGCAGATTCTAACAAGCTTAGGCATCGGTATGAGTCAAGTGCACAAAATCCTCCATGGACATTTAGCGGTCTGAAAGCTTTGTGCCCAGTGCATACCTCAAATTTGACAGAGGACCAAAAACTCCGTCGTGTTTTGATATCCCAATATTTAACGGTGATATTAAAATAGGCCATTATTTTTCGCTAGCTTTCAGAATACTCCTCCTTATCGGATCCTAAAAATTATATTATTTGATTGGCAAGCTAAGTGGTAAGGCGCAATCTGCGTGTGCTGGTCGAATCGTTGAAAAATAAACACAAAGGTATTCGATGTTGGCTGCTTTTTGTACAATCACTTTGCATGTACCAAATAAAAACCAGCTGCTGAAAAAAGCAATTGCTATACCGATACGGTGGAACACAATGGTTAACTACCTAAAAGTTTTTTTTTTAAACTTTTGGGCATTCAGAAATTTTGATTTAAGTAAGTTTAATGCCCGGTTTGAAATGGTAGTGTGCCTAGCTAATTTTTCAGCAAACTTGTTACCTCTTAAATACACGGGCACAAACCTCACGACTGAAGATATTTCTTTTTCTATATAATATCTTTTATTAAAGAGACAATGCCCTGTTGTTGTTGATGTTGTAAAATACATGGCAATGACAGATCTATTTCATAACTATTTATTTGAAGATCATGTAGTCAACTCTCGAATGGTGGCTGTCATTAAAGAACCAAATTCATGGCCCAAACAATGGACTTAGTGACACAGCTTCACACTTCTGTTGCTTTAAGTGTTGGAATTGAAAGACCGTTTTCAACATTTTATTCATACCGACGTACGACATAAACTAGGTACCAAGCTGCAAAACTTGTAATAGTTTTCAAATATTAAGATATTTGAACAATATAAGAAAAAATAAGTGTTGTCTTATCACATTGTGTGTCTCACATAATTTATATATTTTTTAAATTTATAATAACTAATTGTTTATTCATTAAAATTGTTATCATTTAATTTTTAGCTTTAAATTGTGTTTTAGAAACAGTTGTGGCGTGACATTCATGGTTAATTAATGGTGCCTAAGTTATAATTTATAATATTAATGGTTACTGTTTTGTTTGTATATGATTAAATAAATTTCTTGTAATAAAATATTGTTTTAATTACAATGACTAACACTAAAAAAATGTCTAACTATAAACTTTTCCTTATAATTCCTAATTTAAATGAAAAATACAACATAAATTCAACTTGTAAATTTATTGCGAGCTATTCTGGGACTTAATTATTTATTTGTTTTCATTTACTTTAATTTATTTGCATTTGCATTAAAAAAAATTAAGGTAGTTTTAAGTAGTGATGCAACAGAACTCTGTTTCTGTTTCCGCAACTGCGGAAGTTCCGCATGGTTTTTAACATCCATTTCTGCTTCTGTTTCCGGAAGTTTTATAACGGAAGTTTGAACGGAACTCAGCAACGCATTCACATAAATAGATTTATTGTATTTTTAGTTAATTAGAAATTTAAGTCGTGTGTGTAATTTAATTGCAATCATGAAGCCAAAAACAAGTCCTGTTTGGAACTATTATTTTGAGATTGATGATTAAACAGCCAGATGTAAATTATGTGACAAAATATACTCGCGAAAAGGCTGCACAACTACCGCTTTAAAGAGCCATCTTAAACGAAGAGTTTGCTGAGTTTGAGAAGCTAGTTGAATCTGTAAAACTTTCATCGCAAACTAAAAAAACAAATGGACAGTTAAGAAATTGCATACCTATTTATTTATAAAATTTATTCCTATGTTATAGTTAAATCCAGATTTTAGTTAAAACGTGTTTTCTCCAGTTAAAAATAGTTTTTAATAAATGCCTTTGTTATAACTTAGATTTGCAAATAATTTGGTGCCTGAAGTTTATATTATTTATTTTTTACTTGAAGTATAAATTAAATATTTTTATTGATTAAAACTACTTTTACGAATTTTATCGCGTTTATTTATGTCATTTTTAATACCCGACGTTTCGGGTGCTTTCCAGCACCCATGCTCACGGTAAGAAATAATTATTTTTAAAGAAACTTTAATGAGTTTTTGGGATTCAAAGTTTATTTACGTCGTATTTTCGTGCTAGGGCTGTACTAAATCACCTACTCGCTTAACCTAAATGTGGCTCTTTAAAGGGTTTGCCCAAATTTCAGTGCCTATTTAGCTTTTGTGAATAGGTGGTACGCAGCATCGCCAGTGAGCAATAATTTCTATAGCAATAGTTATTATTTTTCGGAGCTGGACTTATTTATGAAGAACACTGGAACAGATTGTTAGGTGTAAAGGCGGCCGAACTACTTCTCATAAAATATAACTTACTGCTACTTAATTTTGAATGTTAATTAAAAGTTTTATTTGTAATTATTTTAAATAAGTATTATTTCCGTTTCCGCATCTGTTTCTGTTTCCGTTTCTGCAAAAAATATTTTTAACATCTGTTTCCGTTTCTGCTTCCGATATGACACTTCCGTTGCACCACTAGTTTTAAGCTCTGTTTTTTCTTCTTAATGTTTTTAATATTGTTTATAACATGATTTAAATTGTGTTTTTAAACAATTAATATAAAAGAAAGTGTTATTTCTAACTGTTTTAAAACTTGTTTTAAAACGTGTTTAAGAACAACTAGTTTTAATCATGCCAAACCCTGGCATTATAGCATTCGGAGCCCTGATATGACAGGATATTGTATTATACTGGCAACTCAATATGCAACTGAAAGAAATATAGGTAACGATATCTTGCTATAATACAGCAGTAACTTTAAAAGAAATTATTATACTTTTTACTCAAAATCTTTGTGGAAGTGTAGCGATGTTCTCAATTACGCGAAAATACACTTATGCGATAAGATAGGAGATATTACGATTTATTAGTATCACGCTTTAATTGTATTGCATGACCTGTATGTATAACATAAATGTAATGAAAAATTTATAATTCACTTTTCACTCACGTTCGGAACGTCTGAATAATCTAATGTAGCACACTTATTGAGAAAAGATGACAATACAATAATTTCATAACTATGACCTAGTATTCTCTATTGCGTTAGTTTACAAAATTGTAATTTGATATTTACACAAATACACATAGAATAAAGTTAATTTTACAGACATCATCATTTTTATTTTTAACGTTTCGAATGCTTTACATGATAACCATGAGTACTAAAAAGCACTAGAAATGTTTTGAATTTGATTTTGCACCACTGCTATAGTTCAATGGGACATGGCTTAAAGGGGTATCAGAGCTAGGCTTTGAGGCATTGCTTCTTAGTCGTCAGGAGCGATAATAACGCATGTGTGGCCTTTTTAAGCTATTGCATAGCTTCTATCGCGGGCCTTGAGCGCGGGGACCGAATCCAGAAATTCCGTAACGAAAAAAAACCTCACGCTCTCCACTCCGACGGGCACGGAGGTGTGGCGTTGAAAGCCGTGCATCGTCTAACGTCGTTTCATTTCGGCAGACTTCGGCACTCGGCAGACTTCGGCACGGTGTTTGTGTGCGTGCGACTAGACGTATGCGTGTACACTAGCTGCTAACTCAATGATAAAAATTCCTGAATAACCTACATGTATTGTAAGATATTAAAAATATTTTAAACAATATTAACTTCTCATTTATTCAATAAGAGAAAGAAATTGTTTTCTTATCGGTCACCACGCTCAAAAAGTGTAACTAGATTTAATATCAAAGACTTAACTGCATAAATAAAATAAATAAATAATTATAATTGCATAAGTTGATAAAAAATGCTATGCAATAGCTTTACCGCGGCAGTCACCGAGTGCCACACGTATTTTTTGTTTGAAGCTGGTTGTAGCCATATACCCGTAGATGGATTTTTAGCTTGCTAAAAAAGATACCACATCAAAAGAAGTGTCATGTAGGGGCCGCATAAGAGAATACACCACTCCATATGATCCCGTGGGTGTAGTAAGAGGTTAGAAGGAAACTGAGTCGGAAGAGGGGCAGCAGAATCTTCCCGAACAATTACTTGAAATAAAAGTTTCTACGTGGTAGAGCCATGCTGCAGTCATATTAGTAGTATAGTCGTAAAACGAATGGGTCGGCTCGATCGGGAAAGAACCACACTCTCACAGAATACCAGCGTGAAATAGTAGGTTAATACTGCTGTGTTTCGTGTGGTGAGTGTAGAGAACCGAAGACCCTTTTTGCTGGAAACGAGGCATTCCATCTTAGTCCTCACGGGTGACAACGCATCTGCATTTGACGAATCGCATACGAGGATAGATATAGATGTCTATGGGCCACAGCAACCACTTACCATCAGTTGGACTGTGTGCTCGTTTGTCACCCCATCCTATAAAAAAAAGTAATTGCGGTTGCCAAATTGTCAACAAGTGGTAAATATCCAACCTATGAGGTGGTCTATGGGGGAAACTTGTTCAGCAGTAGACTTATGATAGCTATAAGTAATAAATGAATTAAACAATTAATGAAAAATAAGCTGTGTATGGTGTTATTACCTTTCAAGGCCAGCGTGCATAAGAAATGTGACCAGTCCAAATGCAGCAGGCGCCTTGTGCAACATGATAGCTAAGAAGACTATAAGTTCCACGTCGGCGTGAGATGTCGTGGCCGCCGCGCCGAGGGCTATGCCGTCAGCTGTGGATCACACAACGCATACATGTATATTTTCTAGACGGATCGTCATTTTCATAAGCCCACAAATGACGAACTCTTGGCCAATTTTCAACTATAAGACAAATCGAGATCAGAATGACTAAAATTACAATTTACAGTACATTGTTTGTTTTTTGAAGTGAAAACTTCTTTAGCAGCGTTCTACACTTTTGTAATGGGTAAAAAATGCTAAACTCGCGTCAGGACACGTGACCTGATCGAAAATTCGTAAGACGGATGGAGAGAGAGAGACAGCCGGCGCGGCGTAGGAGAGGAAGTATCCCCCTCTCTCTCAACGGCGCGGCGAAATTGTATATCTGCGTGTGCGCCTGCTGTTTCGTTTGGCGGCGCAAGGCGCTTGCGCGAATGTTCGTGTGTGATAATTAAAGCAATTCGTTCAAAATATCAAAAATGCACAACGTTAATACTCAAGTTTTCACTTCTGCCGGCACTCCCGGGGTGCCAACCCGTCGTTTTTTTTTAAAAACATTACCTTCACACTATAATTTTTTGGATCGCGGAGGCAGTTTACAAATATAAATTTCATAAGGACAAACATCCAGACCCGGAATAATTATTAGTAGGCCATACAAATACTTGTTTCGTGCAGGATTCGAACCCGCGGCCCTTAGCGCTGCAACTCATTGCTAAGCCACTGCGCCACGGAGCCGTCTATGTAAATTGAAACTGATTCTGTTCGACTAATTGAATGTTGCTTTTTTGTAGGATAAGGGTGACAAACGAGCACACAGTACACTTGATTCCATTTAATCTCGATTAAGAATCAAAATGCAGATGCGTTGTCACCCTTGAGGATAAAAATGGAATGAATCGATTCCAGTTAAACGGGCCTCCAGTTTTCCACACTCACCATACGAAACACAGGAGCATTACGCTGCTATTTTACGCTGGTATTCTGTGAGAGCGTGGTCCTTCCCCGGTCGAGCCGACCCATTCATGCTACAACCATAACAGCTGCAGCGTGGCTCTATCACGCATAAAAATGTATAAACATGATTATATATCTTGATATTGAGAGCCTTGGTAGCTCAGGTGCCAAGCGCTCGCTGTACATTTCACAGTACGCGAGGAACCCAGGTTCATCATCATCATCATTACAGCCCTTCACAAGTCCACTGCTGAACACAGGCCTCCCCCAAGTAATGCCACAAAGCACGGTCCTGAGCCACCTGCATCCATCGACTTCCTGCATGTCAACCCAGGTTCAAACAAACATTAATTTATCAAAACAAAATTATTAATTAATTTCATTAATTCTATAATAGTATGATAAAGTAAACTAAGTTTAACATTAAGGCCTCATCGCTGGACAAAACGTGCAGCGTGGTACCATGACATTAAATGACACGTTCGAAAAATTGGTGCTCCTCCAAAACAGAGCCGTAGGTCGTAATTTGTAGGATTTTTTTCCAGAGGAATAACGTTTGCATTGTCTAAGCGCTTCTCGGAGATCCGCCATTCAAGAAACTGTAATGCAAATGCGTGTATTTGCCATGCACGCGGAACATTTTGCCCCGCTGAACGTTGTTCACTGTAAACTCCTGTTGACTCTTAGGGTTGGTTGTTTAAAACCATCAGGAAAATCATGTTACTTTGGTTTAATATTAACTATAACGTAGGATGTTTCAAGTGCGTCAAACGCAGTGTGTTGTTACATGGCATAAAAAATGTTTGTCAAAGTTATCATACTATCGTCCAACACAGTATTTATTTAGTATTGATTCCATATTTTATGTAATTGATAAGTTTAAAATTATTTACATTAAAATAATGAACAAATTTACAAAATATAAATGGCTGTCTAAATACTGTATTTTACAGCAGGTACAAACAATTTGTACTTAATAGTAAAAATTATCAGTTTTTATGATAATAATTATCTGAATGCAAAGCAATTGTATTCAAAATAATACAAATACGTGAAATTCTCCGTGGTAGCTCAGATGGTTAGCTCTTGCTGTAAATTTTACAGTACACGGTACAGTACACAGTAACCCGGGTTCGATCCCCAGTGGCACCAAATGAAATTGCTAATTGCAATTTTAAGTGCTGATTTGCTACGTGCTCGGCGGTCTATAGGAAAACATCGTGAGGAAACCGGCATCTCTAAGAAATAAGAAAAAAAATATTTAACCCTAGATCACTAACCTTCGTCGAAACGACGACGCGGACTCAAAAAAAGTGGTATAAATTTTGAGTGCGTCGTCGTAAGCATTGCAGATTCCGGCTAATCTCAGTTGACCCAAGGCTCCCGCGACACACGAGTGTGTTTTTTGTGTAGGGGCCCTGTGTGCGCCATTCCAGCCACCATGAATCGTCGAATCGACGAAGGTTAGTATTAACGTTATTCTTTCAAAGTCATTTTTAATTATTTTTTTTGGTGTTATAATTATTTCGGTGTTTTGTAAACTTTGTACTTAATTTGCCTACATTAAAATAAGAACTTACATTATTTTTATATTTGAATATATTTTTATTTTAGATACTATTAGTCAGCTGTTATTAGATGATAATAGTGACGAAGAAAACTGCTCTAAGAGTGAGATAGAAGACCACCTTGAGGCTGATCCGGCTTATGAAACAGATGGTAAGGAAGAAATTTTTTCTGTGATAGAACAACCACCTTTAACCGAAGACATCCAGGCAAGTATAAAGCCCCAAAAGGCAATATTCACTACTGTCAACTTGTGATAAGGTAGGGACAATTGATGAGTTAACCAAAAAACCCACGATGGTTGAGTTTTACAATCAAACTAAGGGCGGAGTAGCATCAAAAATTAGTCGAGCCACACATGCAAAAAAGATTACAAATTCCGACACTTCAAACGGGACTGCGGGACTATATAACAGCGATTTTGAATATGCCAGGAACCAGTAGTTCTACTTCTACACATGAGACTGATCAAAGAAAAGATACAGTTAGTCTTACTATTGCCAAAAAAAGAAAAAAATTGTGCAATTTGCCCCTCCGCAAAGCGAATAATGACAAAGAATTGTTGCACCAAGCGCAACAAATCCTTGTGTGGCGAACATAAACTTGACATTTGTCACAAGTGTATTAATTAATACTTTTTTTCTAAACTGTTTCTTTCTTTTGTTGATTTTATTACTTAATTTTAATATTTTAATACTTTTTTAAGTGTCTGTTTCTTTTAGTTCATAAGAATTAAGCATTTAAAAAAAATGTTATGTTCAAATGAGTAAAAACTCAGGTCTGAATTAAAAGAGTGTCAAAGTAATTAAAATGTGATTTTAGTAGATAAAAAACTTATAAACATGTTAACAAATGATTAGTGTAATAAATAAGAAAAAACACATATAAATATTTTATTCCATAAATCTTTAAAAGCCTCCCTTTTGTACGGCGTAGCCGAAACGACGAAGGTTAGTAATAAGCGTTGTAAAATAAGGTTAGTAATCTAGGGTTAAAGACATTTGAAGTTAACCAACACACATTGGGGTAGCGCTGTGGAAATTTCCTTGTCCTGTTTACATACACAATTTCTTGTTTTTTATTCTTCTTAAATTACTAATAATTAAAGAATGAGGCTATGGGGTCGACAAATGGGGCTATGGATGGGCACACATCGTTGATGGGAAGTAGGAAGCATCATTACCAATGTTGGGCTAACAATTCTAAACTCTATAGATATGGTGAATGTGGTAAAACCCTTTTTGTTATGCATGCCTGTTATCACAAACTTGAAAATAACTATATCCAGAAGTGAATGATAAATATGTGTAGTTTGCATATAACATGCATAGTACCGAACCATTAAGAGATGTTTTCAGAACAAAGGGTTTCCTAACGTTGACTGGAATCTTTATCCTGGAATTATGTCTATTTGTTAAAAACAATATGCAATATTTTAATTTGAAACCTGATTCAAAGAAAAACATTCGCAATCGATATGATATAAGCTTACCTATTATTAAAAATATGATTTACTAGTACCTATATTACTACTATTCATGTATACAATCTGTTACCACCAGCTATTAAACAATTCAATGGAAATATCTTCAAAACAAAATTAAAGAAATTGTTAACTGAAATCTTTTTTTACAATCTCAATGAGTTTTTTAATAAAATTAATGTTAGTAAGTAGTAAATTTTAAATTTATTTTCTTAATTGTTGCATATTCGGCATGGGTAAACTGTTGAGCCTAAAGGTATATGTTTTTGTACTAAGATCATATTGTAAATGTATCTTTATCTTTGTAATTTTTATACTGTAAGCCATTTTACGCCATTTTTATAGTGTTGTGGCTGCGTAAGAGAGTATAGATTCTCTCATAAGAGAAGATGTAAACAACATTTAATCGAACAAAACGGTGCCAATTTATATAGATGGCTCTGTGGCGCAGTGGCTTACCAATGAGTTGTAGCACTAAACAAAACGGTGCCAATTTATATAGACGGCTCTGTGGCGCAGTGGCTTACCAATGAGTTGTAGCACTAAACAAAACGGTGCCAATTTATATAGACGGCTCTGTGACGCAGTGGCTTACCAATGAGTTATAGCACTAAAGACCACGGGTTCGTATCCCGCACGGAACAAGTATTTGTATGGCCTAAAAATAATTGTTCCAGGTTTGGATGTTTGTCCTAGTGAAATTTATGTATGTAAATTGCCCCCACAATACAGGAGAACACCTAATTGTGGAGTTAATGTTTTCAAAAAAAAAAAAGAAAAATCAATGTCCTGTAAACTGTAACTCTTGTCATTCCGATCTCGATTTGTGTTGTAGTTGAAAATTTTGAAGCAGCTCATATCGTCCAGTGGGTATTGTAAAAGCCGACAATGACAAAATAAAAAAAGAGCTTATGTTTTCCAATAAATGGCGGTATAGTTCCATACGTCAAATACCTAGCCTGGCGACGAGCGACAGAGCCAAAGTTGCAGGACGTCTGGTACTTCAGAGGCCCATCTCCAATAGTATCTTTCACAAGCTAATTAAGGAAACGAAGTCTATTAGATCTACTAGAAAAGACAAGGATTTGATCACCACTTGGCAGTTAAAGTACCTAAAATAACAGCCTATATACGTCCCATTACTGTGCACAGGCCTCCTCTCATTTCTGAGATTGTTTTAGGACAAGGAACAGAAAAAAAATATACATGATAGAGCCATGATGCAGTTTCAGCATATTAATAGTATAGTTGTAGCACGAATGGGTGGGTCGACCGGGGAGGGCCCACGCTCTCGCAAAATACCTACTTCAAATAGTAACTTAAAGCTGCTGCGTTTTGTATAGTCAGTGGAGAGAACTGGAGGCCCTTTTTACTGTGAAGAAGGCATTCCATCATAGTCTTCATGGGTGACTACGCACTTGCATTTTGATTTGTAATCGAGGATAGATGTAGATGTCTATGGGTCACATACCATCAGGCAGATTGTGTGCTCGTTTGTCACACTATCCTATAAAAAAATGAAATGTCTGCCGCGCTGCCCCAATTCGTGTTGGTTAACTTCATATGTCTTTAAATATTCTTTTCTTATTTCTTAGACATGCAGGTTTCCTCACGATGTTTTCCTTCCGACCGTCGAGCACGTGGTAAATCAGCACTTAAAATTGCATTGAACATTTTCATTGGTGCACGCAAGGATCTAACCCGAGTAGCTTGCGTACTGTGAAATTTACAACGAGCACTTAGCCTCTGAGCTACCACGGCTCCCTATATCAAGATATAATTAGTTTTAGTAATTAGTTCGCAATCATGTGCGTGTCGATATCAGTGCATTTTTATCGTAGCGACATATTAGCGTAATGTAAGTTACACATTTGTTTAAGTTCATATATATGTCAACATAGTGATAAGAAGTACATGTAATAGAAATTAATAAATATCAAACGTAATATTACAATTTACGATATGTGGCTTTATGAGTCAAGATATAACATCGACTGATTTCACTTTTTTAAGGACATCGAAAGATTATGTAATCTTAAGATTATATTGAATAATTTTGTAATAATTAATACTCAAGGTTTTAAAAAAGAAAAAGTTGAACCTATATTATTAAATAAGTAATTAGTAGTTTCTCTTCGTTTCTCATCTCTAATTTGTATTAAGTCTTCTATCTATAAATTATTTGTATTAAGTTGCAGTGTAGGTGAATAAAAAATATATAAATACATCATATAATATTATAAATATTTACCAGCTGCATGGACCACTAAGCCAACGGTTGCCGTAATGTTTTTCTGTGTTGGGTTGGTGGCATCATTGTATCTTGAGGATAGCTGGTCTACCAACAGCATGAAAACAAAGCCTGCAAAGGTTTTTTTTTAATTTAATAAATTACAAAGCTGTATTTTACAGCAAATAAGATAATATAGGTGATGATTTTTTTTTAAGTCAACATCATTTGAAGATCTAGAAATATCTGTACTTATAGATGTATAATCTCAAATCATCATCATTACAGCCCTTACCAGGTACCAGGTTGCTACTCCTTCTAGTGGGGATGCCCACATTATGCTTACTGGTACGAGAATGCCACTAAAGAACCCTCATCAGTTGCCACTTCTTTGAACTACTGTTTACTGATCCATTGAGCTATGTAGGTTAATCTGGTTCTGTAGTTAAAATCCTCCTTACAAAGTCTATCAGGCAGAGAAACTTTATGAGTATAGCTGTTTCCGTAGCTCGCTTAGCGAACTTAAGCTCCTTCATACTGCCAGCCGTGAAGGACCATGTCTGAGATCAATTTTTTTATAAACCTCAAGTTACAAACAAACTAACAGTCCACCTGATAGTAAGTGGCTACTAGAGTCCATTAAAACCCGCAGCCAACTTCAAACAAAAAAGGCTACAGATTCTCGGTGGAAATTTGACTTACCTAGTTAAACAATTTGTGGTAAGTAAACATAATTGCCAACAACTTCAATTGTAGTGCCCCTAACAACTACTGGAATAGGTGTGGCACGGATGCTACAATGTTATTACTCACAGGATTCTCATAACATTTGCCATAATCTCTACATCAGCAATAACAGTGTACCAAAAATTATATATTCACGCATATATCATATTTCTCTTTATATATATGCCAACATTCTTTTTATACATTTTAAGCCGGTTATACATGTTTGCCGAGCAAAGACGAGCACCAACGTATAGACAGCCCATTTGTACAGCCTCGCCATTGCTCGTCGACGCTCACCTAGCTGGCCGAGTGCAGATGAACGCCAACGTGTATACGGTTCGTTTGGCGTGCCTTGCCACCACAGTCGGGATTGCTCGCTACGACAAGTCTACTTCGGAACAGTGTCGGTTTTTCTGCACAAAACAAAGACACTCGCCTGCACACAGTAATTCGCGTCCACATGTTAGTCACCAATGTTAGTTAGGGTTTGGGATTTGTTTAGGTGAGGTAACATAATAATTATATACACTTAGTAAATAAATAGCAGAAGCTGCAATAACTTTTACATTGTCCATATCATACCAATTCTCAATGACGACTAATTACGGCCAACATGTAGATAGCTCCACAAAAACTCATGAACATTAGCCTTGGAATTGATCTCTTTCTAACTTGACCCCTGTGTAGACTGTAACACTCACCTTGTATCAATTTGCCTATGCTCATGTTGGCCGAGGCTTGGCCAACATGTATTGACGGGGTTACAAAGCATTATAAAGCTCAAAGAAAATATTTTAAGCTCTTGGATTAAGGTATTTTACAATCAACCAAAAATAAAGAAATGTCCTTTATATTTTTAATAACGACTATAAAATTGTTGCTTACCTAGAACTAATGATATGCCAATAACAGAATGCAAATCACTATGTTCTGAAGGCTGTGGTGTGTAATCTTTTGTGACAAGAGGCACTCTTTCTGAAAACAGTGCTCGAACTCCTTCAGGTATAATAACAGCAAGTGCTGTCCCTACTAATAAACCTGCTCCAAAAACTGTCACTTTTTGTAACTTTTCCTGTGGAACAAAAAAATAAAACTTGATATTTAGTTAAAGAAATAATATATTGGCAGAAAATTATATATTTTGTATGCGATAGAGCTCTGCTGTAGCTATGTTATGGTAATAACACAAATGAGTCGGCTCAACGAGGTAAGACCACACTCTCACATTACTGTGTTTCATATGGTGAGTGTAAAGGAACGGCGACTCTATTTACTGGAAAAGAAAGGGGTGACAGGATGGCATTGTGATTTTTGATTAAGGATAAATATAAACACCTATGGGTCACAGCATCCACTTACCATTAAGTGAACTATATCCTTGTTTGTCTCCTTTATTCTATAAAAAAAGTGAGTTGAATTGTTTGTACATAGGCAAACAAGGCACAAGGCACATAAAACCTTTAACCATTTAGAAAGGTTTTAGATTTGCATCTTTATAGTAATGAATGTAAAAGAGAGGTACCGCTAACTAGGTATAGTGGCAACCTAATGTCAATCAATAATGAGCAGTGAACCAAAAAAGCTGTAAGCAGAAAATGTGCAAACACTAAAAACTTTTGCCCTTGCATTGTTTCATTACTTTTACATTCTTCACATTGTGACGATGTATAATTGTCAAAGAAAATTGTTCAAGAAACTCTCCCCTTCCCTTCAAAACATAAATACTTTTATATATTCCACATCTGGCAATATGCAAATATAAGCTAGCAGTCTGATCTTTTTTCACTTATTATTAACCAATGGCTGTTTACTGTCCACCTGTTGCTAAGCTGTGACAAAACACAAGGTCATAAACTGCACTGTCTTATGTTTACAAATGCTTATTAACTCTTGCTCTGAAGACACTCATATTATACTGGGATGGAAAAACAGGAACTGATAAATTAAGTATTCCACTTTCTTGCTGTATGCATTACAAAAATCAAGACAAACTGTTTGGTTCAAATATATTTGTCAACATTTTCAAAAAATATTTTTAAAATTATAAATTAAATTAGGTAAATTCAGATTGTATTATGTCTAAACAATTTTATTTTATCTTATGATGTAAAATAATTTGTACAGCGTAGACTTAAGTCATGCGTGGCGCTCATAACCAATAACAATATTAAGCAAAATAGTGAAGTAGAAAAACATAAGCAGATGGTAAAATGTAATTCTATAGTAGCAGTAGTAAATGAAGAATTTATTAAACTTATCTCCTTAGTTTACTTACCTCTGACATGCTAACATTAAGAGGAATACTTCCAGCAACATAAGAACCAATTAGCATCACCAAAACAAGCAAAATTAAAACTAGTGTCCCATCCATTATTACGAAATTATTACAGATTTTACTTTAAGAAAACCCAATAGGAAATTACAGAGGGGTAATGTTATCTCGAAAACTTTATGTTTGATTTGTAATTCATAATTTTTCCAAACATTACATTCAAAATATTTCTAAAAGAACCTTTCGCTCATAATAATATAACAATTTCGATTTAAAGTGACAGCTGCTGACAACACGACACCGCGACACGACAACAATCCCTAGACCATAGATTACTGTATATATATACTATAGACCATAGACTAAAAATATACTGGCGTACTCATAGTTTTATAATAAACTCCTTTAATATATATGCCGACCTAATCATAGTGCATGCCCATAAAGTATGACATTGCCAGGTACTGTCTGTACATCGATCACTAATAAAAAAACTAGATACACAACACTGACCTCTATATATACAAGTACGCTGGACTGGCTATACCATACAAAATGACTGTGCCAATTTGAAGCGTCGCTAAATGATGTCTTGAAATATAAAATTTTTAATAAATTTTTAATTTTTTACTTTTTCTATGAATATTATCGCTCCAATACATTCACAGCCGGATTTCCTACGATGTCAAAATTGTACCGACGGTAGGCTGTTTAAAGGTAAAAAGGGATTAAATATACACATTAAACGATGCCATAGTAAAAATATTTCGGCTTCACAGCCTACCGTAGAAATTCATGACTCTACTGATAATATACCTAATGACACAAATTCTTCACTTTTTTCGAAACTATTATACAATTTGTATAGTAACGTACCAGTGGTTAAAAGAATTCCCAGAGGCGCGAGGATGCAACTTGCTAAAGCATTATCATTAACTATTCAAAATTGTCTAACGAATTGTGAAAGAAGTTGGCAAAAATTATTTACATTCGCGTATTCCCACTTTCATTTTAGTAAAAAAAATAAATAAATCAATTACGTCTCAACTAAAAGAAAATTCTTTTCAAAATTTGAATTACCCGATTAATACTCATTTCTCTCGACCTTATCCTAAATTTGATTTAAAAAAAAGTAGTTGAATCAAAAGTAATGGAAGGCGACTTAAAAAATGCATCCCGTATTTTATTCTCAGATGACATCCTCGCTCCACGTAATGTCGAAATTCTTGAAGGCCTTCGTCAGAAACATCCTTCGGTCAATCCTTCCCAGAATTTACCGCTGCCTCCCAATACTTCTATGCAACCATTACAAGTTTCCGAAAAAGACACTTTAGACGCAATATTTTCATTTTCGAATGGCTCTGCCGGCGGCATTGACGGGATTACGCTTCAGCATCTCAAAGACCTTGTAAGCGTATCTGCCGGTGACGCCGGTAGGGTACTTCTTAATGACATAACAAAATTATGTAATTTTATGCTATCTGGTAATGTCAATCCCAATTTCATTCCCTACTTATATGGGGCAAGATTGTGTGCCTTCAAAAAAAAAAGGATAACGGTATCCGTCCTATTGCTGTTGGTTCTATATTTTGACGTTTAACTTCAAAATTAGCTTGCAGGCACATAATCTCAAACCTTAAGACAAAATTTCAACCTACTCAACTAAGCTTTGGGACCAAAGGTAACTGTGAGGCGGCGGTACATTCGATGCGTACTTTCTTAACTAATTCCAATACAGATGTTCTTCTAAAGGTTGATCTTAGAAATGCTTTTAACTCAATTGATAGGATAACCCTGCTGAAAGAAGTGGCTAACAATACCCCCGAAATATATCATTACATTACGTTTGGCAATGTTACAGTCAAAATTCAAACTTGTTTTATAAAAAATCCGAAATATATCATTACGTTACGTTTGGCAATATTACAGTCAAAATTCAAACTTGTTTTATCAAAACCATATTATTGAGTCTGCTGTCGGTGTTCAGCAGGGTGATCCATTAGGTCCAGCTCTTTTCAGTTTGGGAATTCAACCTATTATTTCAAATTTAAAATCCAAGCTGAATGTCTGGTATCTGGACGACGGTACACTGGGAGGTAAAGCAGATGACGTCCTCAGTGATCTTACTCATATTTTTCAAAATTTTAAAAATATTGGTCTTGAACCAAATACAAATAAATGTGAAATATTTATTTCTAATAATTTTTCTAATTCTAACAGAGATACCTTAATTCAAAATTTCAATCAGATTTCTGCAGGAATAAAAACTGTCAATTCGGAATCGCTTTACCTGCTTGGTGCTCCGTTGTTTTTCGATAGTATTAAACCTGTTTTAAAAATAAAATTTGATCAATTTTTAAATCACGTTGATAAATTATATATTTTAAACCCCCATATTGCTCTTACCATTTTAAAATATTGTCTCCTTGTACCTAAATTTATATACTTGTTACGCTCAAGTCCAGTCTGGAAATGTTCGGATATTTTAAAAGATATTGATAGTAATCTTAAAATTGCTTTAGAAAACATTCTAAATTTGAGATTAATTACAATAGCCTGGAATCAAGCTACTTTACCTATCAAATTTGGTGGAATTGGTGTAAGAAATATTTCTAGCATCGCATTGCCTGCTTTCCTTGCTTCCGTGCATAGTGTCAATGACCTATGTAACACAACTTTAAATAATAAAGTAGACCTGTGCTTTGCTTCGGAGGCAAAGCAAACATGGCTAACGCTCTGTCCCGGCGAAAATGTCCCACTGGAAGTTAACCAACAAAAGCAGTGGGATATTCCGTTGGTACGGAGTGTCCAGAAAAATTTATTTCAAAATTTCCATATTCAACAAGATCAGGCTCGCCTTCTAGCTGTTTCGACTAAGGAATCTGGCCACTGGTTACATGCTCTACCATCAAGTAATCTCGGCACATTGCTTGATGGGGAAAGCTTGCGCATCGCCGTAGGAATCCGGCTAGGAGTGGCTATTTGTCAACCTCACCTGTGCCCATGTGGTAGCAGCGTCGATGAGTTTGGGCTCCACGGACTTTCATGCAAGAAAAGTGCAGGTAAGTTTTCCCGTCACAGTTCTTTGAACGAAATCATCCGAAGGGCTCTTGTCTCTATAAATATCCCCTCGGTTTTAGAGCCTTGCGGGATATTTAGAGACGATGGCAAGAGACCAGACGGTATGACTTTGGTCCCTTGGGAGAGAGGTAAAGCCCTAGTGTGGGATGCTACTTGCGTTGACACTTTGGCGGCCTTTCATCTCAAGGGTACCTCTTTTAGAGCCGGGGCGGCGTCAGAGGCAGCCGAATTTAGTAAATGGCGAAAATATGAGTCTTTGAGAAATGACTATATATTTGTGCCATTTGCTGTAGAGACTATCGGTCCGTGGGGTCAACGTGCAATGAAGTTTCTAAAGTAACTGTATCCACGACTGGTTGTCGCTGCTGGTGATAAGAGGGCTGGTTCTTTCCTCGCTCAAACGCTAAGTATAGCTATTCAGCGAGGAAACGCAGCCAGCGTTCTTGGTACTATACCACGGGGAGCAGGTCTTTTTGACGATTTAAATTTTTAGTTTTAGATTTTCTATATTATAGTTTCTTCTTTTATGTTGTATATAATTAGTTTTAATCTTTAATATTATAATTTTAAGTATTACTTTAGTTAAGTTCTTTATTATAATTTTTGTAATATAAAATGTAACAAAATTAATATAAAATTGACATAATATGCCAAAGTATGTTGTCTTATTCATATTGTCACATTTAATAAGTCTGTATTTTGAACTTTTAAACTAAAAAACGAAAGTATTTTATGTTGTTTCGTCGTGTATAATATTACTTACATAATAAGAATTATTTTTATTAATAATGAGAGAGTGCGTAATCTGTAAAACTCATTACCAAAAGGGAAGTGGTATAACATATCATAAGTAATTGAATTTGCAGTAAATATTAAACAAATTAAAACTATTTGATAATATAAGTGCTTAGAAATTTGTTACTAATCTTAATATCATATATACCAACATGTTTGGCTGTATATTACTGAGTTTTGATAAACAATAAAATTCAATAGGGTTGAGTTTCTTGTCTATAATACTTATCGATGTTCTTTCCAACCTATATCTGTTAACAAACAAAGTCACCAACAACAGATGATTATCAAATGTTTATTAACAGGTTTCCAACTGAATCTAGACTCAAATTATGGCTTAAAATCATAAATATTGTGAATTGGCGTCCGATTCAAAATGATCATATTTGTTCCAAACATTTCACAGACGACTGTTTTATAGACATGAGAACTGCACCGCTTTGAAAAGTGCAGTATACCGACAATATTTTCTGGTAGTACCAGTACCAAGCACTACCAACTACCAAGTACTAAGTTTTAGATTATTGTTTCGAATGTTTTTTTCCAATCAATCAAAAACCAATCTCAAGTCCATAGCCAATTGTCGAAAGGTCGCCTGATGATGTCGAGCCACGTTGGATGTGTGTTAGTGAGCTGCGGCTAGAGGAGATTCCTCTCCCTGTACCGCTGTAGTCGAGATGGAGTCGTAAGGGAAGAGGAGTATTGGTATAGTGATTGGCGATGCGCCACTCGACTGTCTTTCGATTGATAATTTCAGTTATTGTTTTAATATTGTAATTTTAATTTAGAAAATGACGTTGTAAATAACTGATAACTATGTAATTCAAAGTTTATATTTTTTTTATATTTTCTTGCTAGCTAGTTATATTGTATAATTAGGAATGATAATACAATCATTGAAATAGAATGATATATAACTTTCTATAACTTTCAAATAAATAGTCAGTATAATACGCACGCCACCTAGTGTCAGTTAATTGTACCATGCGTATAACCTTCGCACAAGTGCAACCAATAAGTTGAGTAAGTTTTACCGCAATCTGATGAACGGTATGGCATCGTAGAAAGTACGAACAAACATAAATTTTTATATAGTTGAAAATATTTTACTGTCTATAGACAGATCTGTAGTTGATTAGAATAGGCGTTATTATAGCAGCTCATTTATTTTTTATAATACTAAAACTAAATGAATGGTTGACAATAAATTATTCTATAAATTATGTTTTTATTTTTATTTTGTGTACTTAGTTTAATCTTAATAATTTTTTAGTTGAATGGTGAAGGATATCCGAGTACAGAACCAGAGTACAAAACTAATCCAACTGTAGAGATGTGTAAGGCAGGGTGACGTAATATCCCCGAAACACTTTACCGCTGCATTGGAAAACGTTTTCAACCTACTGGACTGGAAAGGATACGGTATTAACGTCAATGTCGTGTACGTCACTCACCTTCGATTTGCCAACAATATAGTCCTTATGGCACAATCGCTGGAGGACCTACGCACTATGTTCAATGACCTCAATAGTGTCTCCCAACGGATAAGTCTTAAGATGAACATGGACAAAACAAAAGTCATGTGTAATGTCCATGTCACACCTATGCCGGTGGTTTTTGGGGGCACATAGCTGAAGTTGTTGATGAGGATTTTTATTGGAACAAATAGTCCGACTAGGTAAGTTCAACTTCGATCGACAGGTCAATCGACGGATTCAACTCGGCTTGGCAGCGTTCGGGAGATTACAACACATCTTCTCATTAGGAATACCTCAAAACAAGATTGTACAACCAACGCGTGTTGCCACTGATGATATATGGATCTGAGACGAGGTCTTTCACTGCTGGCCGTATGAGGAAGCTCGAAGTCGCTCAACGAGCTATGAAGAGGGCTATGCTCAGGGGTTCAAACTTAGGAATGAGGATATCTGCAGCAGAACCAGAGTGACCAACATCGCCCAAGGGATTAGTAAGATGAAGTGGCAATTGACCGACCATATAGCTCGAAAAACTGAATACCGATGGGGAGAAAAGGTTCTCGAGTGGCAGCCTCGTACTGGCAGGTGAAGTGTAGGACATTCCCCCACTAGATGGAATCAAAACTTGGTAAGACATGCAGGAAGTTGATGGATGCAGATAGCTCAGGACCGTGCTTTGTGGGATTCCTTGGGGGAGGCCTATGTTCAACAGTGGATTTGTGAAGGGTTTTAATGATGATGAATGATAATGGCATTATATTAATATGATACACAAATAGAATGGACGTTACGGGTAGAGTCAATCTATCCATAGAGTCCATTCTATTTATTTAGGTATAGGTAGGGTATAGAATTTTTATCGATATAATTTGGTACGCTGTCTTATACCTAGTATTAGTTCCGTGGACGTGCACTTCTTCTGCCAGCGCCAAAATGGCGGAAATCAAATCGCTTCATCATGTCATTGTGTAGCCAGTCCAGCGTACTTGTATGTATAGAGGTCAGTGATACACAATCAGTGACAAAAAACGACCTCACCGAATGAGCACCCATTCGAACATTTGGGTGCGCTTTTAATCTAGTTACATTCGAACGCTCCGACGGTAAACATGCCTCAGTGCTCGTTTAAAAAGTGTAAAGATCACACGTCCAGGACGCTAAAAAATGATGGAATTTCCTAATTTCGGTACGTATTAATATTATCATTATTTTATTGTTATCACTATATTGTAAATACTTATATTTTGTCAAGAAATCTCCGTAAAACATTTTTTAAATTAAGTCTTTAATAAAATAAGGCATAATTGTTCGAGGTATGTGCGTTGACTCTGTTCCATTTGTTGGAGACGTTATTATTTTTTATTATTAAAGTATGATGTTTTTTTTTCTTTAATGAGACTTCTTTATAATGTATCTAAATATTATAGTAACATTTTATAGACTTAAGTTTGAATATGTGCTACATGCACATGTAAAATTAAAAATGTGAGATTTTATTTTTAATTTTTCAGCTTTCCTCGAGATCTCGTTAGGTGTGCAGAATGGATATCAGTCATAGCATGTCAAAGGTCCGAAGAATTCTTCAAGCCGACCCAAGGAAGCGTTGTATGTTCGAAGCATGTTTTAGAAAGTGATGCATATGTGACTACGACTTACAACTTTCTGTACATACTTTTTATATTTAGTAACTATTGAGTTTAGATTTAAGTTCTTTGTCAAGCAATATTTTTAAATTTTTGAAACAAGATGAAGAATAAATAAATAATTATGACTGTTTCAAGTACTTTCGTTACTAAATGAATGTGGTGTCCTATCCAAAAACGCATTTAGATTCAGGTAAATTATAACTATTACACATAACGCACCTTAGAATAGAATAGAATATGCTTTAAGTACACCACTTTTTAAAACAAGTTTTAAACATTTTAAAATTAAAATAACAGTAACAAAAATATTGAGCAGTTCAACTCCAATGATTCCTTGTCCAATGTACGAGCCTCGGTCGTAAAATTTCATTGATAGTACTTTGTAATTCTGACTTTAAAACATGCGTGTAAGGTTGAATTTGTTTTGATATAGGTTGACCAGCTAGTATCAGTCATAAAAATTTATTGCTTTTCGTACGTATCTTTGTGAATACAACTATAGGCGATGTATTTAAAGTTGAATTTACATAAATGTGTATTTATTTCAACTAGAATTACGTCACAACCTTGGCGACAGTTTTTAGAGAACTTTTGTGTGGGATTGTGCATCTAGTTATTTATTAGTGATCGATGTGTCTGTACTACTAAGAAATTCAGGTTTTCATAGGCGTGATTTTTACTGACAGCTGTCGCAGAGATCAAGCTATCTTTTATGAACCATACATTATATACAGTCTGTCAAGAAATTCATGAAAATTAAAGGAGGGCGCCACTATCTTTTATACGGCTTCCCCATAGATTGCAACCGAAAAGTTTTGATACTTTTTATTTTATAAATTGATTTATTATTATGGTCCCTTTACTGTCATATTTTTTCAAGTGTATGCTTTTATTGGTATGAGTAACCCTTGACACTTGTACTCTCTACTCCCAGCAAAGTAATTAGCTAAATTCACGTACTTAATAATTGAGATAATTTGACTATCTCACAAGTAATTAGGAAAAGCAGGTTTTACACAAGACGAGCATTGACAGACAGAGAAATAAAACAGAAAAATGTTGATACATAGTTATTATATTTTGATTATTAATCTGAGTCCAAATAATCTGAGTCGAGGTATTCAATTCCCGAAATGTTGCCTGAAGCTCCTGCGTACTTAAATTGGTCGATTTCTGACTCTTCAGATTCACTGGAACTATCATCGCTTACTGAGATGACAAGTTTGTCGATATCATTATACAGAGATCCTCCACGGGCAAAATATTCATTTTCTATTTTGATGACATGGTCAACACAATTTTTCCATTCTTGCTGAGTTACTGACTGAAATGCTTCAGTGGCCAACTTCGCAACATTTTGTCCACAAACGTCCTTTTGTGCGATTCGCTTTTTTACCATTGCCCAAATTAATTCAATGGGGTTCAGATCGCAATGATAGGGTGGTAGTCTTACTGTATGTCCATGTTCCCCTAGGAGTTCATCCATATAAATACACTGGTTCAGGTTTATGTTTTTTTAAAAACATCAATAAGGATGGCTTCCGCAATGTTTCATCAAATGGAATATTATTTTCCAAGAGCCACAATTTGATTTCAAAAACTTTTGATGCAGATGTAGGTCCTGGGGCAAAAAAAACTTAATTTAATAGTTGATTTTCAATTGCAACATAAAAAGATAAGTAACAATGTAAAAGAAAAATAAAGTATAAGAATGAAATATTATAATACCTTGCTCGTTATAATGGATTGGTATGGTGCATTATCCATCACAATTATTGATGGTACAGTTATGTTAGGTACTAACTTTTCAGTTACCCATTTTGTAAAATTATGAGCCTTCATCTCAGTATGGTAATCATCTTGCTTGTTTTTACCAGTAAATATTAATAGTGCATTAGGCACAAAACCATTCTCACTTCCAGCATGCACATTTATCCATCTTTTCCCTTTAGATACATCTTGTTGGACACCAGAAATATTAATAGACTGCCAACATTTAGTAACTTTGTAGGACTCGTGTATGTAGCTCTCATCCATATAAATAATGCTTTTTGGAGCTCCTTGGGTAATTTTCTGTTTTCAAGGATGTGCTTTAAATAATACTCACATTTTAAAGCAATAACTGGTTTCTCTATGAGAGCCAGTCTGTTTGTTTGGCATTTCTTAAATTTAAAGTCAATAGAAATTAAAACTTGTCTTAAAAATTCATGGCTGCCATCAAAATTTAATTCTTCCTTCACCACTGCCAATAGTTTCCTTAGTGTAGGTACTTCTTTCTGCACTGTGTAGAAAAAATGTACTTTTTGACGAATGGCACATAGATCGAAATCATCGATCTGTTTCTTAGGTCGGCCTTGCCTGTGTTTTCCGGGCGTGACAATTTTACCTCCATTCTGCATACCTTCGTCCACTATGCGCCGAATTGTGCTTTCGGAAACACCTGAAACCAATATAGTCATGTAAATAATAAATACCTTATTCATATCTAAATAAATAATACAAAAGGATCAAAACTATTGACTGTGTAGTATAATTCTTAGATAAATTTCATAACCTCAACTATTAGTAAGCAATGTCATAAAACGGATAAATTATACTTGAAAACAAATTATAGATATGAGATTACAGTTTTTATTATTATGTTTAACATTAAAATACATGTACGTACAAGTTATCCTTGCTGTTCGACCGTAAACATCGTCTAAATCAGAAAGAAACTTTCCCACTTGAAATTCGGCCATACACTCTTGAAATACTTTAAATATGACTTGTCTGGTACCACTCTTATAAACACTGCGTTTCATTTTTGCTAAATGGTCATACGATAACAAAAACTCGAAATATAACAAAAATCTTAAAGCACATCAACTACAAAGCTACGATATGACGCCTGGGTTACTCAGTTTGACAATAATTTATTGTTACCAGTACAAGCAAAATCACTAGTTCCAAAAATATTCTTTTCATGACTTTCTTAACAGACTATAGTCCGTTTCACGAAAGAAGTCCCGCGGAAAATGTGCGAACTAAAATTTTATGTATGTAATTTGACACCAGATGTCCAACTTTACAAAGACTGTAGTGCCGCGGCTGAGGGACTTCTTTCGTGAAACGGGCTCTAGGTATTATTATCACATGTGATTTTATCACAGACTAACTATAGTTCATGGAGTATAGAGGTAAGGAGGACAATCTCCCATAGGAGAATAGTTGAAAATGTGTCCATCCGTAAGCAGTAAAAAACAGTTCAAAGACTCTTCACAACAGCGGTCGAGTAGCTACAGCTACGAGCACTTAACCCTATAGAGACGTAATACAAGGCGACCCGAACCTGTCAACTCGTCAGTGACTAGTCACTGATATATTTCTGAACACTTTTGCTTCCCGCCAGTTGTGACCAAAAGCTAGAACCGTAGAGACGGATTACATTTAAAATATAAATTAAAATCTATTTACGGCATCATGTCTTGTTGTGCCGTTAAATGGTGCGGAAACAACAGTAAAACATGTAGTGTAACAACAAACAATATTACTTTTCATCGGTAAGTACATTTCTTTATTTTACCAAAATATTTTCGACATTTTTATTACGCAACGAGGGTCAAGTTAAACTGGACAGTTCCGTCACGCGTCACTCCCCGTCCTTTTTGCATTTACTGCAAATACGTATGTCTGTCTCTCCTTATCATAATTAGCCTCGTGACGCTAATGACTAGTGCGGGGCGGTATATTTATTTTATATTGTCGATAATTATCCACAAAATGATTATTGTATTTAGATATCGTTTTTTTTGATTTATTAGATATAGACAGATACATAATTTATTAATATTATAGATATATATAATTTAATACTAAAGTATTACTAAGAGTAGTAGATTATTATTTACTACTCTTAGTAATACTTTATAATATTAATTATAATTATTCTTTTCGTGTATGAGCTTTGGATAAGTACGATAACAATGTTATTTTATTTAAACTGTATGATTTTTTCCTATAGGTTTCCAAAAGATGGTAATATGAAAAACAAATTGATAAACGTTACAATAAAGAGAAAATTGGTTTCCATCAAAATATAGCGTCATGTGCTCAAAACATTTTACTGAGGATTGTTTTTTGATGACAAAAAATAAGCGGCGACTAATGAGAAGTGCAGAAGAAGTTTCAAAATCAATAATAGCACTTAATAAAATAAATATAATAAATAAACGTGAAAATCTTTTTTATTATCTTTTCAATCTCTCCGTACTACCTCGTAGTGCCTCGACCTTAAGCCGAACTATCTTGCGTATCTCCTACGGGGCCTTTTTTATAGGATAGGGTGACAAACGAGCACACAGTACACCTGGTAAGTGGTTGCTGCGGCCCATAGACATCTACATCTATCCTCGATTACGAAACAAAATGCAGATGCGTTGTCACCCGTGGGGAATGAAATGCCTCGTTTTCAGTAAAAAGAGTCGCCGGTTATCTACACTCACCATACGAAACAGCATAAAGCTACTATTTTACGCTGGTATTCTGTGAGAGCGTGCGTCGAGCGTCCTTCCCCGGTCGAGCCGACCAATTCATGGTACAACTATACTACTAATATAACTGCAGCATGGCTCTACCACCTATTAAATATTTTAATTTTTTATGTTAAAGTAATTTTATGTTAAAGTTCAACAAATCACTAAAAGTTTTTAAACTCCAACTTCGAAAAAAATTCAAGATTAAATTAAATCTTGAAATTTTTTCGAAGTTGGTATTTATATTTTACCTGAGTATACTGGTGTAAAATATAATGTTGTAAAATTGTAATGTTGAAAATGTTAGTACATTTAAAATTAAATTTCTTAGTTGCATAGAAAATTGAAGTCACAGTCAAAGCTAGTTACTGATACCGAAAGCATGTATTAAAAAAAGCGAAAAAAATTATCATTATCGATAGAAAGCATCAAGTCATTACAATGCACGCCCTAGCGATCGTGTCCGGAATCTCTTCGGAATAGTTCGGAGTAGTTCGCAGCGATCACAACTCCCCCCCCGCACCGCAACTAGTTGACAAAATTGTTTTCTTTTAAATTTGCATGTATTACTTCTCTATAGGGTTAAGTGCTCGTAGAGCTACAGTAACAATCACCGTGAAATACGTTGAGAATGATTTTGAAGATAAAAATTTTGAATGCATTAAAATAATTATTGTAAAAAGAATTATGATGATAGTCTGTGCTATAAATAAAAATTTCTTTAAAATTTAGACTGTAGCAACAATGGTGCCATTCGTATTTAGCAATTTCCTACGGACACTTTTTTATACAGAGTCTGTACTCCTTACCTCTACACTCCATACTATTAATTATAGCTTGATTAGAATAAGGCGCTGTTCTGTCGCCATCGCTTGCTAGATGATGCGATGCGATTTCTTCATCCAATGAATCCGCACGCGCGATTTCTTCAGTCGCATCGCATGATCGTATGACGTTCACTAGGACATTCCGCAGATATGAGCATGTTTAAACGCATGGTTGCACGATCATTTTCGTCGGACGCAACTCATGATCGCGCGAGCGATGGCAATAGGACAGCGCCAAACGGCTGCCACTCTGATTTGACTAGTGCTGGGAACATTAAAGCGATATATCGATACAGTATTCACAAATATTAATAAAAAATATACACCCAATACTTATTTTTAACCAAGTATTTAAGCATTATGACTCATTTTGGGCTAATAAAAGAAAATTAAATAAATTAGCATCAATAAATTTGTTGACACAAGGATCATCCTACACTATATCCTAAGTCACAATCATCATCATCAGAATCAGTCACTGGAATAATCTTCGAGATTAATTAATAATTATTGATCACTCAAATAATCAAAGCGGACATCACGTTGCCAATCTTCTGTGATAATTTTTGGCGTTTTCTCGACCACCTTCTTCCAACCATTTGGTGTTACATGTTCACATGCATTGTTCAGCAAAATTAACATTTTATTTGCTGTGTTGTTGTGTTTTGTTGCATGACCTAAAACTAAAACAATGAGTTATTTTTTTATTAGTGATGCACTAATTAATCAACTTCATGTAAATATTAAATACCATTATCTTGCGCCCAAACCAATTCTATTGCATTATAGAATTGGTTTGGGCGCAAGATAATGGCAGTGATATGATGGTAAGCGGATTACGGTATGTCCTTTTTTTTTGCCATCTCATCCAAAACATATATTGGCGTTTGGGGCTTGTGTATTCCCACCAAACGCAAAAAGTTCTGTTTTAAACATAGTTCCGTGGGCTTGTACTCCATTGGTTTGCAACCACGAAATTATTTTATTCGTCTGGTTTTTGGCTGTCTGAATCTTATTTTTTTGTACTGAATAATAGGGTGCATAGTCCGTAGGCTTCCACTGAACAAATTTGCATGTTTCAGATAAACTGCTAATTTTGTTAATGTTGGCAACTCGTTACGTGTTTTCGAATTATTCAAAGTACTCTGTGTTACGTTTGTAGTACCTATAAGTAGATGTGATTACGAATTCGTCTACGTCTGTATCAGTTACAGGGCAACTTTTCTGTTTTTATTTGGAGTAGATAACTTATTTTCCTCCGTTCACGTATCTCCAAATTTTTCTTTGCTGATACTAGTCACAATAGTTTTTCCAATTCCAAGAGCCTCAGCAACTCTGTCAAATACCTGTGATACTGGGTGGTAACAGCAGTCCGCCGTTGTGGTATTCACGTTCAAAATAGTCACGCAAACGAATTACAAATTCGCGAGATTCATTATTTAAAAACTGTAAAACGGTTTACAATTAGTTGAATGTACCCACACTTGTAAAGAATGACAGTTTTTCTATTCAAAATATTGCGAAACTGCTTCGTGCTCAGTTTCGTCTCTTCTTTATGGATTAACGAAAAAAATCATTTTATAATCTGTACTTTCTTGTATATTTCGATATTGTAAATATAAACTCCGAAAGTAAATCTAAAAAAGATCGATTTTTGAGAGATCGATCTTTTAGACCTCGATTTTTTTTTATAGGATAGGGTGACAAACGAGCACACAGTCCACCTGATGGTAAGTGGTTGCTGTGGCCCATAGACATCTACATCTATCCTCAATTACGAATCAAAATACAGATGCGTTGTCACCCGTGAGGACTAAGATGGAATGCCTCGTTTCCAGTAAAAAGGGTCTCCGGTTCTCTACACTCACCATACGAAACACAGCAGCATTAAGCTACTATTTCACGCTGGTATTCTGTGAGAGCGTGGTCCTTCCCAGGACTTTTGTTGAATCGATTCATCAGATCTCGATTAGAATCGATTTAAAAATCGATCTTTTCAGAAACAATCGGCATCCCAAGCTCAAACAAACAAAATGGCAGTTCTATGTGCTCAGTGTTAACAATATTAAAAAACCGAACGCATGGTTATTAATTTTTGAAAGGAAAATTTTTTCTGAAACATTAATTATATATATATATATATATATATATATATATATATATATATATATATATATATATATATATATATATATATATATATATATATATATATATATAGATTTACTCTAGATTTACTCAGTGTAACACGATTGTTAATTGTAATGATCGGTGTTTAGATTTAGTGTTAAGTACGCTTACAAAGGGAGAGAGTGTGAATGTGCGCGAGGCAGGGGCGCCTCTCGTACCTGTGGATGCATACCACCCGCCACTGGATGTGTTGGTGAAACTGTGGCCGCG